AACCTTCACTCACCACGAGCCACACCTCACTGCAATTCTATCAGACTGGGGAGAAAGAAACCGCCGCCCCAGGGTGGGGCCCTCTGCACACGCCCAACCAGTCACCTCCTGGTGGCAGTGAGTCACTCAGCCTGACTCATGCGGAGCGTCTGACAGCTGCCGGCTCCTTGCAAAGGGTGACTGAAGCAGAGGCAGGAGAGGGCAGAGCCCCCGGCCCCATGTCGGGAGGGAGAGCAGACCCCCTCACCCTCCAGGCCCTCCCCAGGGCTCCCCGCCAAGGGGCTGTGCCAGAGCTGGATGCCAGGCAGGCACGGCAGGGAGCTGAGGGCCCCCAAGGAAGGCACACACTCACTGAAGCTTCTCGAGGTGGCACTGGGGGTCCAGGAGTCCGGCAGGAGAGGGCAGAGCCCCCGGCCCCATGTCGGGAGGGAGAGCAGACCCCCTCACCCTCCAGGCCCTCCCCAGGGCTCCCCGCCAAGGGGCTGTGCCAGAGCTGGATGCCAGGCAGGCACGGCAGGGAGCTGAGGGCCCCCAAGGAAGGCACACACTCACTGAAGCTTCTCGAGGTGGCACTGGGGGTCCAGGAGTCCCTCGCAGAGCAGCCGCAGGCCCGCGTCCCCCAGGGGGTTGTCGTTGAGGTGCAGTTCGCGCAGGGTGGGCATGCGGCGCAGCGCAGCGGGCAGGACCGCACAGCCAGCCTCCGTCAGGCAGCAGTTCTGCAGGCTGCAGAGCACCCAGCCTCGTCCGCCAGAGCCGAGCAGGGCCTCCTTACAGGGCCAGGTCTAGCCCCATCTCTCCTGGACAGGGCTCAGTGGTCTCCAGGCCAAGGGCACATGGAAGGGCTGGAAAGTGTCTCAGCCCGGGAGGAGCCACTTCTGCAAGCACCCCCTGCAATGGGGCCCACGTGGTAGAGCCGCAGCCCTGGGGGAACAGGTGGGGCCGGGCCCTCACTAGAGCAGGGACCCAGAACGAGTCAAGGGGCCCATCCCTATACTGAACAGTCACCTCGTGTTTTTGGCTAAAGCCAGGAGGGCCTACCACTGCCACCTGCCCACCGGTACCCTGTGAGAGCCTGGCTGCCCACAGCAGCCCCGACCCGCTCACCTCAGCTTCTGGACTTTGCAGGTGGGGCTCTGCAGGCCCTGCAGCACCAGGTGCACCCCCGCGTCGCCCAGCTCATTGGTGCGCAAGCTGAGCTCGGTCAGGCCGGAGTTGGCCTGGAGCGCAGGGCAGATGTCCTTGCAGTGTGCCTCCGTGAGGCCACAGTCGTCCAGCCTGCAGACAGGACAGGGCCCTCGCGCTCAGCAACCACTTCCCACGGCGGGCAGTGGCCCACCGGGGTCTGAGCAGTCGAAGGTGGGCAAACCTGGCCATTTAGAAACTCAACACAGAAAGGAGCAGGACTGTGGTGTGGAGCCTGTCTGGATGTTTGCCGCGTACACGTGTGGGTGGGTGTCACCTGTTTTCCACGAGGCAGTGTCTCTAGGGAAGGGTCAGACAAACCAGCACTAAGCAGCTCCTACGAGGAAGTGCTGGGAAAAGGACAGGCACCGCCAAGGGACACGGGGGCCGAGCGAAGGGGCTCGGCGGGCAGAGCGGACACCGGATTACAGCTCAGTCAGGACCCTCGAGTCCGTCCTGCCCAGCGAGACGAGCATGGGCGGTGAAAGCCAGCCCTTGCTCACGGAGGGGTAACGACGGGTGAGTGTGGTGGGGAGGGGAGAGGGCCGAGTCCCGATGAGGCGAGCCCCACGGTGCTCACTGCTCAGTGAGAGGCAGCGACGGAGCGGCCCCAGCAGGTGACTGGCAGGAGGACACTGACCGATCACGAGGGGAAGAATAGTGCGATCAGTGGAGAAGCCCCGCAGACAGCACGTCAACCAGGTGACCGTGGTGCCACCACACAGCCCATGACGTGACCCACAAGACAGGACCCGGCAGCGGCACTGTGTATCTTTGCCAAAGCTGTGTGACCTGAACCATGAGAAGCCATCAGACAAGCCCAATGGAGGGACATGCAATCTGGCTGTCAGAAGTCAAATGACCAAGGACCAAGAGGGACAAGGGACAGGCACAGATGGGAAAGGGCTAAGGAGACGGGACGGCTGAACACACCAGGGGGGTTCCTGGACCGGCCCGAGGGTGGGGACAGGACAGCAGGCCTGTAGCTGGTCACACAGCACGATGAGGACCAGGGGACGGGAGACCTTATCATTAGGGGCACCCATGGGGCTCCCGAGCTACGTTCCTAACACCCGTGAACCCTTTCGAGTAACATGTCAGAAGGACCAGGAGCAGGGCCAGCAGGTGGCAAAGTGGACTGGCGCTGGACTCCCAGACCGTCTGTCACGGGGAGAGGCCCAGACCCAGCGGCTCGAGACTCGTGCTGAGTGCGCGTGTGTGTGCACCCCAAATCCTGGAAGAATGGAGTGGCCTATCGCAAAAAACTAGGGGCCAAGCAGGCGCTACCCCTAACTGGTGACACCTGGGGCACCGCTGAGCTCGTGAGAGCCTCGAGGACAGAGGCCAGCCTTGACTGTCTCCTGGGTTGGACCGGGGAGAGCAGAGTGTCCGAGACGGAGGGGACCCTGAGCCGCCTCCTGCCCCCTGTGCTCGCTGAAAGCAGAGGCCACAGGCCAGGCAGCGCTGTGTACCTGCCCTGGGTGTCCATTCCAAATCTGGCCCGCCCTGCCCAAGCCTCAGACTTTTCTTTTTTTTTAAATAGTTGGGATAAAAACCATAAGAGCGTCTCACGCCATGTGAAAACATTACAAGTCCATTTCTTGCCCCGTGAAGGGAGCACGCGGCCCACCAAGCCGGCCCTGCCAGCGCACCCCGCCCGCCCTGGAGGGCACGCGTACCTGACCACTGAGTACTGCTGGATCAGGGGGAGGAGCTCGGTCCACCTGGTGTCGCTCAGATGCTCACACTGGATATCGAGGCTCATGGTGGAGCGGAGGTGCTGCCTGGGATGAAGGCAGAGGGAAGAGAACGTCTCAGCCCGGCCAGACACGCTCAGCGGTGGTAGGCCGGCGACTATGCATGTAGGAGGGACGTCCCAGCGGGACCCCGAGGGACCTCGGAGGAGCCGCAGCCTCTCCTCTGGCAGGTGCCTGCTTTGCTGCCTTTCTTTGGCACCTGCGCCCACCTCTGTTCCGAGCAGACATGGCGTGGGCAGGAAGAGGCTGCGTCCACTGGGCCCCTGGAAAAGGCCACCAAAGGTAGAATTCGGGGACACGGCTGTTGGACACAGGCACCAGAATCCCCTCCCAGCTGGCATGGGCACCTTCTGCCTGAGAGGGTGTGGGCAGCAACCTGGCCAGGAAAGTACTGCCCTTTATCTGCACAAAGACGAGGGGTGGTGGGAGGCCTGGTGGGAGAGCGCAGGGGCTGGCTGCAGAGACCCCTTCTGTCTGCGGAGCCCACCCTGAGAGTCGGAGGGCTGGTCTGGCTGGGCAAACTTCTGCCTTCAAAGTCAGAGATGCCCACCCCCGGCTGGCTGGATCCTGGACCCAAGCAGCCCACAAGTAGCGGGGGCCTCACGGCCCTTGCAGCATATGGAGGGGCTACAGCCGGTGTCTTGGCAGGACAGCAGGTGGAGCGGGGTCTGTGCGTTCACAGGCAGCCACTTGGCACCAGCTTCCGTGAGCCCCCAGGGGGTGAGACCCACCGTCAGTCAGCCTGGAGGCCAGCCCAGAGAGTCCAGGCTGTCCAGCAGGGGAGCAGCTTGCAGGCTCTGAGTCACACCAGGGACAACACGGAGCCGGACAGGCGAGGCTGGTGCTCACGGCGGACGGCCCTGAGGAGGGGGGCTGAGAAGTACCCTCCTGGCCTGGAGCCCAAGGGACAGGGAAGTCGCTGGGCAGGGCGACATGGGATGGCCACCCCGTGTCCGGCCCCAGCACGTGGCCTTAGCATACGGACCCTTTCCCAAGTACCTGCCAAGCGCTGGCCAGGGGACAAATGGCAGAGCAGGACTCCCTGTGGAGTGGAGGGCCAGGGTGGGCAGCCAGGGAGGGCTCCCTGGGGGAAGGGAGCCGGAGGCTGTGCTGGTACAGGGGAGGGAGGCAACGGCGGAAAGCCCAGGTGGCTCTGGCTGCCCTTTACAAAGGGCGGGCACAAGTGACACAGCACCCTCTGTGGGAATACCAAACACCATCCTGGGCCCCCGCTTCCCAGGGCTGCCAAACGGAGCCCGGTCCCTACCACGTCTTGACACGTGGGCCTACAGAGGAACCTGGGGCGGGGGTTCAGGAGTCAGGGTTTCACCATGGCGACGCTCCATCACAAGGAGGAACCAGACCCACTGGGCCCAAGGCCAAGCATGTGGTCAAAATCAGCCCTGCCTGGGTGGGGCCGAGGGAACCCAGGGCGTGGTCTCCCAAATCCTCACTGCTCAACAGCCATCCTCTGAGCCACCCTGGGGGCGCGGCGGGACTCAGGCCCCTTCCCAATAAGGACCATGGAGGACCTGCAGCCGCAGGGCGCCCCTCCAGGCCGCGGTCTGTCCCTGCACCCACCCCGCCTGGCCTCTCTTAGGCACCTCAGGGTGCCTCCCCTCCTCCCCCAAAGTACGGGAGGCTCAGCGCTCCGGCGTGACCTCAGCAAGGACAGGATGAGAACTCACTGGGCAGCTGAGTCCCCGCCCCGACCCTTGGCCAGACTCGCTGTACCCCCTTGGTTGGCTCAGGGGCCAGGAGGATGCTTCTTGGCCTCTGTGGGCCACGGAGGACTCCAGGAAAGAGGATGCACGTGCGCACAACTCTGATTTGGGGGCTCCACGAGCCGGCAGAGGCACAC